TCTCCCAGCTGCTGGCTCGGTGCCCACATGGTGCCTAGGCTTGGCCTCCAGTGGACTGGAGAAATAAAACCTTGCAAAAGAAGTGGGGAGGGGACAGCCTGGAAGCCCCGGGTCCCTTGTGCTGCCTGACAGTGCCTGGGGCATTAGTGGAGGGGCACTGGGATGGCGTGCCCGACACTGGGAGTTCCTGGGCTGGGGAATTGTTTGCTGCTTGTGCTGAGGAGTACCCGAAAGTAGTTTTGACTGAGACAGGAGCTTTACGTGTGACTTTGGAAACCTGGGATGCTCACAGTTGGGATGTGTGAAGTTAAAACACTGTTGGCTGTGTGATGACCCTTTATTTTTCCTTTGGAAAGTTTTGGTCTTGTTCCTACTTTTGCGCTAGAATTTATCTTGGGGGGACACCTCAAGCTTGGGGYGGAGCAGTGAGGGCCAGAGTGGAGGGAGTTGCTGGTGGCAGCTGATCCATGCCATGAGCTGTTCTCCCAGTGGCATCTCTGGCTGCAATCCAAGGCACCCATTAGCGGACATGGCTGCTGCTTCCTGGCTCAGGGGGTCGGGGTGGTGGGGCAGAGTGGTCTACCTGACACCAGGGATCAGAGGCACCGTGGCACCAAGGGTGTTTCCAGTGAGTGGATTGGACAGATGGTGCCCTTCTTCAGCCCGAAGTGACAAGTGACGTGTCCTCCTGACCAGCAGGCTCCATCTGTGTAATTTCCTCTTCACAGGGTTTCTGGCTGTGCCCCTGTCCAGTGCCTGCCCTAAATAACATCTCTCTGCCTGTCCGTCAGCCTCTGTGCTCCCAGGGGTGGGCTGCCCTCAACAATGAGAGCTCCTGACAAGCCTGTATATGGCTTTGGGAGAAAACCCCTTCTATGTATGGTTTCTGAGTATGGCAGAGTCCTGTGGGCAGCATGGATAGGACAAGGCAGGGATGTGCCATCCTTTGRGCGATGAGACAGGCCTGTTTCAGATTTGTAAGGGACAAGTAAGAGGTGACAAGGAGAGGAGCATCTTGGCAGGCACCATGCTCTCCTGCTGGTCTTCCTCTGCTGCCAGTCTCTGGCCTGCCTGGTTCTTGTAGAAGCCTGCATTGAAAATTAACAGTGGGAATACTCTGCTCACAGGCTTCAAAAAGGGGCTCCAAATTCTGGCAAACTCTAGTCCTGCCAGAATGATGGCAAGAAAAGCTGGAAGCTTGTAGGTAAGTTGTGTTGAAGGTGTGTTTTCTGTGTAGGGCTGCAGAGGCTGACTGSTGCTTCCCATACAGGYCCASCCCCTGCCGTGGGCAGGGACACTTTCCACTAGACCAGGGTGCTCCAAGCCCTGTCCAACCTRGCCTTGAATTCTTCCAGGGATGGGGCAKCCACAGCTTCTCCAGGCAAYMTGTGCCAGGGCCTTACCACCCTCATGGACCTACAATACTTCCCCATGTCCAGCCTGACTCCACCCTCAGTGGAGACCATTGTCCTGTGCTGYGACCCCAGAGCTGGAGGCAGCTCCAGGGAGTCTCAGGAGATCAGAGCAGAGGGAGAACATCCACTCCCGCCCTTGCTGCCCACACTACTGAGGATGAGGCCAGGAGACATTTGTCTTTCTGTGCTCATGGCTGGGTTATGTCCCATTTGTCACCAGAATCCCCTGATCCATCCCCACGGGGTGCTCTTAGCCTCCTTTYCTTTGACTCCTTCCTGCAGGKGACCATCCTGGTGGCTGTATGGTGRGGTGGCAGGCSCTGCAGCCAGGACATGTGTCCTTCATCTGTGGGGACTGCTGTAGATGTCCTCGCCCCTGACATGGAGAGGCTTAGCAGGATTGGGGAAAGAAAGATCCCCTGGCCTGRGGACACTGTCCAGCTGGCATTTGCATTGGCAGGTGCATTTTCCCTCACTCATAATGTGTATTGGCGTGATTCAAGATCCTGGAGGCTGTAGGTGGGGGTCTGTGTTGTAATTGCCCATCCAGTGGGCTCTCGGTACCACCCACCTTCATGGATGGCTGTTGATCCTTAAAATCAAGCACAGCACAAACCAATCAGGCGCGTGTGATATATAAAGTGGAATGTGAACATGTATGGTAGTTATATCTCTGTAGCAAAGATCCATCCATGCATTCCTAGCTTTAGGATATGGTGCTTTGTGACTTCCTTGATGATGATCYCTCCTGCTCATGTGCTGGGGGCGTGCCTGGGATGCTCCAGGAGSGATGGAGAATGTGTGGGCATTGGTCTGAAACCAGTTCTTGACCTCAAGTGAACCTGAGCTTACAGCTAGGCTTGCTGCCGGCTGAAGGAATGGCACAGTCGGCATTGGAGTTGGGACTGGAAGGTGACAGCTGTCACTGTGTTCAGATTTGAGCAAGGCTGGAGCAGTGATGACAGGGATGGGGGAAGGACTGGGCTGTCTGGTGGCACCGGTGTGCAGGAGGGATGTAAAGGAGCCTGCAGCCAAATCCTGCCCCTGGCTCCAGGGAGGTGCGGCAAGTGTTGGATGTGGTTGTGTGTCCAGTTCTGCCCGAAGCCTGAGCTGTGCTCTGGCTCTCAGTGCTGTACTGTGATGAGAGAAGGGAGCAGGAGAGGTGACGTGGACCTGGTGTGAGCAAACTGCTGAATTCTGAAAGCAAAAGGCTTCAGGGAAGAAGCTGGTGCTGCCTGATGCAGAGGGCAGTGCCTGCTGGATCAACTGTACAGCCCTGGCTTGTACCAGCACTGGTGTAGCCAGTGGGATCAGGGCAGTGGCCATCCCCTGGGCTGGGCACTGCTGAGGCATCTCAAATGGGGTCAGTTTTGGGCTCCTTGAAAAGGAAGACATTGAGGGACTGGAGCATGTCCAGAGAAGGGAATGGAGCTGGGGAAGGGTGTAGAGCACCAGGAGCAGTTGAGAGAGCTGGAGACAAGGAAGCTCAGAGGGAACCTTCTTACTCTCTACAACTCCATGACARGAGGATGGAGACAGTTGAGGGTCACACTCTTTTCCCAGGTTATCAARTGACAGGACAAGAGGAAATGGCCTCAAATTGCTCCAGGGAAGRTTTAGGTTGGATATTAGGCAAAATGTCTTCATTGAAGGGGTTGTCAAACCCAGGAATAGGCTGTGCAGGGCAGTGGTGGAATCACCATCCCTGGAGGGATTTAAATGTTCCAGCCTGTTCCCAGGGTGGCAGCTTTGGCCATACCCCAGCCTCACTGTGCTGACAGCTCCTGGCCTGAGTGGCTGTGCTGCAAATGGGCACAWTTTCAGACTTTAGGACACAGTTTTCTGCGCCCACAGTGGTGGGTAAGAACAGCAACATACCTGCTTTTCCTTGTCAGGTGAAATTTTCACCAAATTGTGGCAGCTCTCYGATCTATGAATGGGATAACTGTGTTTGAGTGAGTTACCCAGGCAAAAGGTGCCACAAGCGGTGGCAAGGCTGAAAGCTGAAGTCTCTGTATGATGCTGCTCAAATTAGTCACTGTAGTGTGGAATGACAATTTTAGGGAGTAGGATAGATATTTCATCTGGTTTATTTTGATGTAAGAGGCATCTCTCCGGAGACTGTAGTGGCTACCTCTCTGCAGAGTGCAGAGGGGCCATGGGGTGATGTGTAACTGTTTGCAAAAAGTGGGATCATTATGAGATGAGCAGAGACAGTCCTGTCTTAAATCTCCATTMCACTGGCTTCTTCTCTGTTGTAAAGATGGAGTAAGAAGAAACTTTTCCACCCTGTTAATTTTCCATTTTYCTCTGTCATGTAGCTGTTTTAGTTAATAATCTTTTAAATGTCTCCTTGTGTGGAGGACTGTAATTTTTTCTTCCCTTGAGAGTTTGCATCCCCTGCCTTGCTGGGATAGGAGATGTTTCCATGCTTCTACAGACAAGGACAATCCGTCATTTGCCTCTGTRACTTTCCTAGTTCTACTGTAGTATCTGTTTGCTCCCACCATTCCTGCACTCTGCAGCACTCCTTATGTTTTCCTATTGCAGCATCCCTTGTGTTTCCCATCAAAGCATTCCTCATGCTTTCCCATGGCAGCATCCCTTGTCCTTTCCTGTGGCAGCATCCCTCGTGCTTTCCTGTGGCAGCATCCCTCGTGCTTTCCTGTGGCAGCATCCCATGTTTTTACCATTGTGACATTCCTCATGTTTTCCCATTGCAGCATTTCTCATTTCCTACTGCAGCTTCCCTCGTGTTTCCCATTGCAGCTTCCCTCATGCTTTCCTGTGGCAACATTCCTTGTGTTTCCTGTGGCAGCATCCTCATGTTTCCCACCACAGCATCCCTCGTGTTTTCCCATCATGGCATCGCCCATGCTTTCTCCCATGGCAACATTCCTTGTGTTTCCCATGGCAGCATCCCTTGTGTTTTCCCATCACAGCATCCCTCGTGCTTTCCCATGGCAGCATCCCTCGTGCTTTCCCATGGCAGCATCCCTTTTACTTTCCCACAGCAGCATTTGTAGTGTGTCCTGTGGCAGCATTCCTTATGTATCCCATGGTGGCATACCTGGTGTTTTCCAATGGGAGTATCCCTGGTGTTTGCCATTGCRGCATTCCTCATGTTACCTATCAACATTCTTTGTGTTTTCTCATCCCCATGTTTCCCATTTTAGCATCTTTCATGCTTTCCTGTCACAGCATCTCTGGTGTTTCCCATGGTGAAATCTGTGGTGTTTCCCATTCCTGCTCTTTGCAAAGCTGGTGTGCTCACACAGGGCTGAGGGTGCCCTTGAAGCTCCCACTCCATGAATGTGGGGTGTCCTTAGCTGCATCCTGTGCTCACCATGGAGGTTGTGCAATGGCTGCTGTGGTGTTTTGGCCATCCCTCACTTCTGGCTGTCCTCTGCTCTCTCAGAGCCCTGGGAGCTTGGAGTGGCAGCACCTGGGGTGTCCCACACTCTGGCTGGTGTTTGCCCCAGCTCCTTGGAGCAGGTCAGCACAGGAGAAGGGGAAGATGCCCCTGAGGAGCAGCAAACTCTGCAGCAAGCACTCTGATGCCTTTCTCTCTCAATGTTGTTGCAGGCAAAGGACAGTGACGATGATGATGAAGTCACCGTCAGCGTGGACCGGGATCGCTTCATGGATGAGTTCTTCGAGCAGGTGAGAGGATTGTTCCTCCAGTGTAGCTTTGAAGCTGATTCAGACATTTCTGCTGGCACCAGGGTGGGTTGTGCATGGCCCAGGCTTCCTGCTGCCACAAGCTGAGGGGCCTGCCCTGGCTAGTGCTGCTCAGCTGATGCTCAGGGTTTTGCTCTGAGTGCTGAACCTGCAGACCTGAGGCTGTGTTGCCCTATGGATGCTTTCACGCTCCCTCTGCTCCTCCAGAGCCCAGCGAGGCCATTGCACAGGTGATGGAAGCAGGGGAGCCTCGCACGCAGCTCTCAGGCCTTCCCCCAGAGCACTTCTGCAAAGCAGCAGACTCTGCATGGGATTGATTTAATTTTGTGCCTCCCATTCCCAAACAAGAGGTTGTCTTCTGGCATGTGGGTGGCAGTAAGATCTGCATGCGGATTTTTAGCACACCCTTAGCATGGCATGTGTGTGGGGGGTGTTAAAATGGATCTGTGCAGGCAATGGAGTGGGAACTGGGATAAATCTGATGTGCAAGTGGAGGAAGATGAGCAAAGGGGTGGTGTGAGCCGAAGAAGACTGCGTTAGAGGGTGAGCAGCCTGACAGGCAGAGAGCACAGGAGAGGTTTCCTTTCTTGACAATGCTGGTGTCTCCCTGTAGTAGAGAAGTGCAGGGAAATGCTAGAATGGATCTTTTGGAAAAAGTGGCCTCCCTGGAATCAGGGGTGAGGATCAGATTGGGTTTTCTGGAGTTTTTTATGGAGCAAGGAGCCATGGGGGACTGAGCTGCTACCAGCCTGGGTTGTGCAGCCCCAGCAGTGTTCTTGCAGAGGGGCAGAGTCTGGGAATCGATCAGGTGCTGATTTCTATAAATCCCAAAAGTTTCTCAGTGCGTCACAAAGAATACAGGCCATACAGTCTGTATTTTGCTGCTGTGACTCAGAGCTGGCTGGTAGGATGGRGAAGATCTGATTCCTCAGTGGTCCTATAGTTTCCAGCTGGAAAATATTTATCCAGGAAGATGGTTGCTGTGGTTCAGACATATCATGGTTACTTTGGAATAGGGTTCAAAAATCCCTTCACTTTCCAAAAGTCCAGGTCTGTCACAGACCATATATCTTGTATCACTCCACAGGTGGAAGAAATTCGAGGATTCATCGATAAAATTTCAGAGAATGTGGAGGAAGTGAAGAGGAAGCACAGTGCCATTCTCGCCTCACCCAACCCTGATGAGAGTGAGTAAGCTGAAAGCTCTGTGTGCCCTGCAGGCACGTAGCTGCACTGATGGGGTGGCTGGAGCCAGGCACAATTCCCTGTGTCTGCAGGTGGCCATGGCTGGATGGTGAGGGAAAGCTTGGACCTGCCTGGTGACTGATGGCTTTAAAACCTGGACAGGTAGTGGGAGTCCAGCAAGAGGGGGATTTCTGAAAGGATGAGGCAGTGCAGAGGCTGGGAAGAACAGCTGGGTGTTTTTGTGGTGGTTGGCTGTTGTCTTGCCCTGGGCTGCCTGGGAAAGGGTGGAACAGACTGAATGTCACCTACTTGGCCCAGAAACGTTACAGTTCCTCTTTGAGCCAGCAGTGGGCCCTTAGGACCTTGCATCTCTGTCCTGGGGACAATTTGTTGCTGACTGGTCAAAGGGACCTCTTTCTTCCTCAGCCTGGTCTTCCAGGGAGGAGATTTGCTGCTAGGAGCTGGAGCTAGGGATTTGAGCACCCGAGAGGTGGCAACTGGGTAACACCCAATTTTGGTGTCTGGGGGATCTGGCAGAGTTAGAACTGTGAATGCTGAGGTCCCCTTTCCCCAGGTGGGAGCAGTTCTCTCCCAGGAGAGCCAGAGGAACCAGCTGTGGGGGTGTTGAGGTCAGCAGAGGCTTTCCAGCTTTGGTATCTGCAAAGCCCTTGCTATGGAGCTTGTGGATGTGAGAGGTGAGCTGTGTAGGGAAAGCAGGACTGAGCACTGTGGAGTGGGGGTGGACCCTGCCCAGGCTCACCTCCTGAAGGACAGCCCTGAAACAGCTGTGCTGGCCCAAGCTCTGCTTTCAGTGTGGCAGTGAGCCCAGGTGGCTCTCTTTTGCCCGCCTCCATCGTGATGCTGGTGTCACAGGGGTGCTGAATACAACAAGGTCGACCCTGCAGGATGGCTCTGGGCCATGGGCAGCCCTCATTTTGGCAAAGGTGTTGCTGTCGTGGGCTGAGCGCTGCTCATGCTCCCAGTGCTTTGTCTGAAAAACTGAGATCAGGTCTCTTTCTGGTCATCTACCCTCCTCCCATCCACTTCTCATTTGTTCCTAGAGATCCCAGGAGGGTGCCCACATACACATTGCTATGCGTCCAGCCTTATGTCAAATCAGTAGATACTGTAATTACTTGCAAGGACTGGCCATTCCTAAATTGTATCAGGCTTGCCTCTTCTGGCAGCTGCTCCTCAGCTGAAATTTCCTTGGCCAAGCCTGGAAGCAAGGGATTTTCTCAAGGAAATTCACGTGTCTCAAGTTGTTGCTCAGTCATCCTCCAGGCCTTTGTGCTTGCTGTGTAAGGTGTTGCAGTGTTCCTGTTTGGGGGTATTTAGGGAAGAGCTGTCACTGCTGTGCTCTTGGCTGCTGCAGTGGCACGGGGTCCGCTTGGGCGCTGCAAAGGGCACTTGTAGCCTAAAAGCATAATAACTGTTTAAAAGTCTGAGACCTGCAATGAACAAAATGTGATGATGTTGCCATGACTTTCAGAAGCATCCAGGACATCAGAAATGCTTCTGCTTTTGTTTTACAGCATTACTTTGCCTTGGTATTGTAGAGAATTCAATTTTTCATATCAAGAATTGTTTGGACAGGAAGAGAGGAGGCCACACATTAATCAGAAATTAGTGATTTGTAGCATTGTGGTGTGTCCAGGAGATGTGATAGGGCTCAGAGGTGTATGGGCTCAGAATCACGGAGTGCTTTGGTTGGAAGGGATCTTCAAAGTTCATCCAGTTCAACCTCCGTGCCATGGGCAGGGACACCTTAATTTGCACCAGTGGGCTACTTGCTCCAAGCCCTGYCCCATCTCCCCAGAACACTTCCARCAATGGGGCAGCCACCTCTCTGGGCAACCTTTGCCAGCTCCTCACCACACTCATAGTCTGACATTTCTTCCCCATGTCCAATCTGACCCCACTGCCCCTTGGCCTAGCCCTTGGACCATTTTGGTGGCCACCTCTGGACCTTCTCTTCCAGGTGGTTGTCTGTGCTGGCAGCCTCATCCCCACCCTCCTGTGTTCCTGAACCCACAGAGAACCTGCTCATAAATGCAAAGCTGTTTGTAACCCAGGGCTGTGAATTTATTGAGATTAATTTGGAAATCCAGAAGCAAGTTCCCATGAGGCATGGGAGGAGAATGGAGCCAAAGGGCACTAAAATGTAGATTGTGAGAGGCAGGTTTTGGGATGTGCTCACTGGGGTTTGCTGTTTAACATGACGAGGTGTGACACCTGGGATGGCCATCAGGGCAAGATGTTGCCCTCTGCAGGGATTTGGGATGCAGCTTGTCCTCTCTGGAACAGCACCTCATTTACTTGTTGGTAATCTCTTAACTACTTTAGCATCATGTGGAACCTTCACTGCAAGATGATGTGAAATGTTCCTTCAGGACTTCTCATCCTTGTCTGGAGGCACATGTGCTGTGCAGCTTGGTTTGTTCTGGGTGTAGCTTCTCTATCAGAAATACAAACTCCTTAAACACCACCAGCAAGTCCTTTCTGGAGCTGGAGGATTTTGAAGTGGGGCTTTAGACTGGGATAGAGCTGGGTTGGTAGTCTGGAAAGTGGATGGGCAGTGATTGGCACTGTTGTTGGAGCACTGAGTGGAGGAATGGATGGAGATGTGTAGTGGCTGCTGGTGAATAGCTGCTTTCTCAGGGTCAGTAATAGAAGAGTGGGACTCCATGGCTACAATCTCACTGGAATCTGCTTAAATGGCTGTGCTTAAATGGTAGATGCAATCCCTTGGTGCTCTTTGTTTGCAGAAGGTGAGGTCCAGGTATTTGTGTGAGACCTGGATTTACCCACCTGCCTCGCTGTGGAGGTGCAGGATCTGTGTCTCATGGAAGGGCTCATCCCTCTCTTCCCGCTGATCCCTCTTCTGGCTGCACAGACTGTTCTTGGATCTGCCTTGCCACTGCTGTCTGGGCTTATTTTGGAGCCCAGTGGGTGGGCAGCTGGCTGGTTTTGCCACTGAGCCAATGAGGTGACAGCCTGTGGCTCTGACAGGCTCAGATCCATCTGCGGGAGCACTGGGTAGGTCTCCCCACCCAGCTGGGCAGCATCATGGTGGGACTGGGGTGGGCTTGGAGAAGCTGAGGGGCTGTGTTCCTCCTTGGGTTGGGGCCATTGCTGTGATACTCCAGATTTGAGTCACAGCTCCTGGTAAACCCATTGCTAAAATCCTTCCCAGTGAGTGCTGTGACTGTTGTTGCTCCTGGCGCTGGAAGCAGCTGCTCCTCCTTGGTCTGGGCCACATCCCAGAGGAGGTGGCTTTGGGGTGGCATTCCAGGCGGAAAGGAGGGAAATCATGTTTGTTTTTTTTCCTGGAATGGTCAGGAAGGGCTTCTTTGCCATTCCTCTTCTCTGAGCATCGCATCCCTCCAGCAACCATGCTCCATTGCTCTCCAGCACTGTGTTATGTAACGAAGGCTGTTCGCTCAGTGAATTGCCTCTGGGACGTAAATCTTCAAATCCCAAGTCATGTCTCTCAGCCTGTCAGCTCAGCTCATCTCTTCAGGCTTCGGGAGACCCAATAAATATTTCAGACCTGGAAGTGAATCTATTACAGCTGCACGAGGACAGAAGGGGAGGTTCACTTCCATGGGCACTTGACCTCCAGCTTCATAATTTTAGCTGTGTACGCACAGGATGGTGGCATTGGACACCAGGGTGTGAGGCCTGGGTGAATTTTTTCAGTCTCTCTGGCTGCTGGGAGTTCCTCGGAGAGTGGCCTCTATTATTGCTAGCAGACCATTTTCTGGTGGAGAGATGTGTCAGATGGGCAAGGAGGCAAGCTGTAGCTGCTCACCTTTGTCTGATGCTGTTGAGGTATCACAGTCCTGTGCCAAAAAGACAGTTTGGAGCTGTCTGGGTGCCAGGATGCTGGCTGGACTCCTCTGAGCTGGACTCCTCTGAGCTGGCTCTGTGCTCTCCAGTAAGCACAACCTCACCTCTCAGCAGGTCCTTTGGGTGTGTGTCCCAGGAGGAAGCCCAGTGTGCTCCAAAGAGCTGCTGCTCCAGTGCTGCTGGAAGAACGAGGCTGGAGCTGGTTCCTATTGGAGCTGTCTGCCTCAAACACGGCTTTCTGTGCCCTCTCAGCTCCACTTCCCACTATGCAATGGTATTCTGGGGCTACTTTCTCTCTGGTGCCTGGTCCCACCAGGGCAGGGAGCAGATTTCCTTGAAGATCAGGAGTTGCAGTAGTGCTGTGGCTGCAGGCTCAGGATTGTGTGATGCTCCTTTGGGATGAGCAGTGGAGAGGACATGTGAGTGTTTCAGACTGACTTTGTTCCCCTGTCTTCTCTTTGCTCCTTGATCCACTCCCAGCTTCCCTTGGATGGGAAATCAAGAGACAGCCCAGACTTCAGCAGACTTTGAAGATGAAGCAGGTTTAGTCCCAGCAAAGCAAGGGATCTGGCGAAAGGTGTCTGGGCATGTTCTGGACATAGAAAGCACTCACAACTTGTCCCCCAATTCATCTTCTGCTTACCTACTTCATCTACAGCCTTAATGGAACTGCCCCTGCCCCAGGCAGATCTGGCCTGAAGCAGGGATACAGTCACAGAGCAGTTTGGATTGGAAGAGACCTTAAAGCTCCTCTCATTCCAACCCCCTGCTGTGGGCAGGGCAACTTCCACTAGACCAGGTTGCTCCAAACCCCATCCAATCTGGCCTTGGACACCTCCAGGATGGGGCAGCCACAGCTTCTRTGGGTAATTTTGCCAGCCTCTCATGATCTGACATTTCTTCCCTATGTCCAACCTCACCCCACCCTCAGTTCAGTACTATTGTCCTGTGCTGGGACCCCAGAGCTGGAGACAGCTCCAGGGTGTCTCGGGAGAGTGGAACAGACGGGGAGCATTCCCTCTCTCCCTTGCTGAGGATGAGCCCGGGAGACACTTGTCTTTGCCAGTGCTCATGGCCGGGTCAAGTCCTATTTGCCACTCCACAGAATCCTACAGTCCTTCCCTGATGGTATTATCCATCCGTCCTTCCCTCCATCCCTCCATCCATCCATTCCTGTCCGTCCAT